CCCCAAAACCCCAAAACCCCAAAACCCCAAAACCCCGTTATTTATGGTTAAAATAATTTTAGGTTAAAAATGAATCAACTTGAGGGAGATCAGGAGGCAGCAAAAGGCCTCTCACCGAGCCCTGAAAGGTCGAAAGTTGTACCTGGACGAAAGCAGAAAAGTAAGTTAGTGGGGAATGGAGTGCTAGAGCTGTTTATAGGAAAGGAATGATTTTAGAAAAGAACATTGTATTTGAAAATACACTTTTTTGTAATTTTATAACACTTTTTGAGGACATTAAGGTTTTTAGCCACCAATTAAGTGGCTTTGCCAGGAGGTAGATATACACATTGAAAAAAGAGTATCTGTATCTGTTAAAGAGTAGTTAAGATTATTTTATTAGCAATTAACAGTCCCTTTTGGATGTTATAAATGCAAGAATGAGCTATCCTACATCTTAACTAAAACCATTAAATTTCAATTGCTCTTAATTATCATTACTGTTATATCTAAATTACTTTAAACCAGGATTGCCAGCTAATCTAGTCCTCATCTCTTTTTTGAATGTTTCTTTTAAAATCAGCACTAGAACAAAAGGATTTATGCCTAAACTCTTTTCACCTCTACCTTATAGATATTATCTTGTCAAATATGCTTATTAATACAGTTCTCTTACCATTTCTATAATTATATCCAAGAGAGCTCAGCCTCTATATCTTTGATGATTCATCACGACTCTCAGAATTAGTTAACATTTTATTTTAACTCCTATTCTTCCTAAATTTCGATTTTATTTAGGAGTTAAAATCCTCAAGACTAATTAACATATAGAAGAGCCTGACCACAATCAGTACAACTTTCATGGTCGCAAGAGGGATAAATCAAAGGAAGAGAAGGAGCAAAAGAGCAAATATATACTCAAAGGAGCTTACAACACTGATTTACAGACCACGAGAGTAAGTGATTTGTATATCTCTTAGCATCCTTGTTTGTCTTCAAGCGGATTTAACAATGTGTTGTTAGATATTAAGCATCAAAAGTGTTTATGAAAAGTTGCTCATATTATTGAATAATAAAAGTCCAAAATTTACTTTTCGATGCCAATATTAAGTATATATCAGTTGCGAATGAATCTAGACTTCAAAACATTGTACTAACTTTCAAGAAGTAGAAGCATATATTTTCTGTTTTCAAGAGCACTTTGTTGTTTATAATGATATTAAAGCCATCTTAGTCATAAAGAAAGTTCCTGAAATATCAATTGCAAGCTCTAAATCTCTCTTTCATTTAGTTGATTCCTTAGAGTCATTCTACTTATGTTGCAAAAACTAAAATTAAATGTAGCAACCATATAAAATTTCTTCATAAAATTAATACTTTAAATCCTTTTATAAAATTTAATAGACAAAAACTACCAAAGAGAATTACCAAAGAGACAAATAAATTACAGAGAGAATTTGCTAAAATGAATGTAAAATCCTCGATCTCCAAAAAGGTTCGGAAGAATAATGAAAATACGATCAGGAACTTAAAGATTTCTAAGGGAAAGAACTTACATAGAGAGAAACAAGTGAGAATTGGCAGTAATAACGCTAAAAGTGCTGGCTCAATGAAGCAATATTCAACTATATCCTCGATGAAGGCATCTAATAAGGCAGCAAGGGACAGGTTCCATAAAAGACTTTCATCGAATTTAATGGAGACACTTCAGGATTACATCTCTATCTGTGAGACAGGCTCAGCAAGTATGGTAGAGAACCGGATTAAGAGAACCAGTGGAAAATTTCAAAGTAAATAGAGACCAAGATTTGGTCATTGAGAGATTACTCAAGCAGAAGGAGAAAATAGAGAATAATAAATAAATTACTTGAGACTACTTATCGGTGAGAGCAAGCTGCTAAAGATAATATCGAGTCAAAGGTATCTCACAACGTTCAGCAGAAACCAAGATCTAGGCCTAATTTTGAGAATTTTTACAAAGATCAAGTGAATAGAGAGCTGGAAAGAAAAATTAGACTTGCAACTCAGGCTGAACATAGACGCAAAAGAGAGCTTTCGTACAATAAAAAGCCAAGCCTTTCTTCAAAAACTAGGAAATTAGCATCTAGTATGGAACGGAAAGGAAGTATTCATGATCGCCTACATCAGACAAGCTACAGGAGAATTGAGGAAAAAGGACATAATGCAGTCAATAGCTTCATGTCTAAATTTAGCCTTGAGGTACCTCTTTCAAGCCGAAAAGCCAACAAAAGGTTTCATTCTGCAGGTAGAGAGGACTGAACATTCCACCCTAAAATAAGTGAGAGGACAAAATAATATCCAATACTCTCAAAGTTTTGGAGACAGACTATTCTCAGATGCTACTCAGAGAAGAGACAGAAGGGAGATTTCCCGATTACAAGAGGTCAACAAGATCAAGGAGAGTAAGGTAGTAAAGAACTCCTCTAAATCTTCCCAATTAGCTTACAAGAAGTTTAGCAGGGATTTTAGAAATGCTCTGAAGAATAACAGAAGAGTCAAGGATAAGTTAAACTTCTTGGATCTATGAAACCTCATGATAGATCTTCATATGATAGACACTAAGCTACTCAATACCAACAAAAGTGATGAAGAAAGAGAGTTGATTAGAGAAATCTGGAGACTTCTAGGAGGAGAGAATGAAGAAGATGAAATTCCAACAATCAGTGTGAGGAACTTTATCTGAATAATTCTCAACTTTGATCTACCCTTCCTGTATTTTCCTTCTCTAGATTCCCTAGATGCTAATCAATTCGATCAGAATACAGTTGGGATTATTTCTGCAGAAGGAATCTTTTTCTTAAGAGATAAGAAAGAAATCAAGAAGATTCATAAGAGCTTCTATGTATTTTGACTCAACAGGTTTAATAACTTATCTGGCCAGAAGTCTGAGAGGTCTCGTTCTTTAAGCAATAGAAGATCAAGAAGAAAGAACAGAGATTTCATACCAAAAATTAATTCATACTCAAAAATGATAGATAGGAGGAATAACAGATCTTGTGATAGACGAGAGAATATGCTCCTAAATGCTGGGAAAAAGTATATTGAGGTCCAAAACCAGAAGTCATTGGAGAAGCAATCTCATGAACTTGACAGCTGAACCTTCTTTCCTGATACAGAAAAATTAGGAGGAAATACTAAGATAAATACTAGCGATACTGGGTTTATAAAGAGTTCAATTATCTCAGAGCAGTCGATGAACTTGATATCGATCAACAGTGAGCAACAACAAACACAAACAACTAATGATAAGTTTTTACAGGATTTGGCAAAGATTTCCCCTATTAACAGATCAAATGTATCGTCGATTGCGTTGAAGCATAAATCTCACACTGTATTTCCCTACAAGCCCTTGCCAGAGATGGATTCAGAGGGTCTAGCAGAAAAGGCTCAGAAGGAAAGCTCTCAAGATTATGGAATACAAGGGAACAACTCAACACAAGAAACTCAGAAAGAAAACGATGATGACGAGGTGGTCTTCAAGACTAATTCCTCTCTAGAGGATTTTAAACCCTCAAAAGGAAGTAATAATGATCTATTTTATTATAAGAAACCTACTATTAATGATGTTGAAAGAAGCATTAGAGAGAACAGCCTTGAAAAAATATCCCCGATAAAGATAACGACCCGCTCAGGAGACCTAGATGATGTTGCAGATGAGATAGAAGAAGGACATGAGATCAAGATTATAGAAGATCCCCTTAGCGATAAGTATGAACAGCAGGAGACTTATGAGAATTTCTTCCCATCAACCCCAAATAAAAAGGTAGATTTTAAATAAACCATAGGAACTAAAGGAAATAATAATTGATGAAAAGGATCTCTCAAGTCCTTCGCAAGAAGTCACTAACTCGCTCAACGAGCAAGAAGAAGAAGAGTTATCTGAAGAGGACTCTCAAATACCTTTGCTCTTCGTAGATGTTAATCTCGGTAAAGGAGTTATGAAGAGGATTATCCTCTACGAAGAAGATGACCCGAAGTATATTGCAGAGATGTTCGCTAAGGATAATAAGTTAGAACCAAACATGAAAGAAAAGCTAGAGACACTCCTTAAGAAGCAGATGGAAGGGGTCCTATCTAAAATAGATGAAGATGATGAGAATGAAGAGTCCACAAGTAATTAAGCCATTGATAATTTATTTAACCATTACAATTAAGTCGTTAGAATTTGGGGTTTTGGGGTTTTGGGGTTTTGGGGTTTTGGGG